TCTATGACCTTGAAAGATCATTTTCGATCAATATTCAGATATACATCTCAGTGGTATACCCAGTATCTAACTGGTAGAATCCATCCCTAGTAAAGCTGCAAGCTTGCTGTTTTATGCTTATTTATGTGCAAACTACATTCAAATATCATGTTCATCTATTTTTAGATATATTCTTCATGTAGTGCATGGGAATAACTTTGCCTTACAGGAGATGGAGATAGTCTCCTTATGGAATACTGGCCATGTAATAATAATAAAGAATAACCACAATTGTTTATGAGGAGCAAGGATAAATCTCTACCAGCAAGCCCAGTCTGTAGACACTGTCATACAATATCAATCCTACTTTACAGAGTAAATTCCTAACTCCTCCAAACATATCTCAGATCATTTTATGAGCCTCATCCTCAAGTCCAGCAATATAAAAATGGTAAACATAATGAAAAATGGCAAATTTAACAAGCAGAGATTCATATTATAGAATTACCTGCCCTTAATATTCCTTGTCTAGGGAATTCACAAAGTGACCAGCTAATCTCACATATGCTTGCACATTTGTTATTAGTTATACCAAATGAAGATATAACCCATGCCAAAGCCTTGGGTTGTCTATGCTTTAAACTGTTAATGGAGAAAGACTTCTACTATATTCACAATAATTTATTGTCATTTTACAGTAAAGCTAAGTTATAATTTAACATTCACTAAGGATCCACTAATTGACAAAACTGTGCAATTAGCTGTGTGTATGTGAGGAGGGATATAAATATAGTTAAGATTATGTCTCTTCTTTAGAATATCATGATAAATTCTAAAGTATATATAATATCAGTGGTCAGAAAATAATATCCTAACAGCAGGCTGTGATAATGATCACATAGGGGCCATAATGGAGATACATGCAAAGTACTATTGGAGCACAGAGGAAAGAATTAATTCTTACTTAGGTGGCAATAAAGGAAGGCTTTCAAGAAGACAATGAATATGAGCTGAATCTTTAGGATTGGTTGAACTTTGACAGGCTGATGATGGGATGAGTGGCTGGTATGGTGGGGGTGGGAGATGGTGGGGTGGGAAAATGGAGGAAATGAGTATATGTTGAGTAAAGGGAAAAAAGCCTCTAAATAATGTAAGTTTCTTCTTCCCTGACTGCCGTACATTTTCAACTTTGTAAAGGAAAAGGAAGAAAATCTATGGAACCAATTGTTTTGGTTTCTTCCATGTGATCACAGCATTGCTTATATGGATTGTCAAATAAGGGATGGGCTCATAAAAGGATATTAATGTGTCATTTTTATTGAGCAAAGTAGCATTTCAGAAAAGGTGATTTCAGAGGCATATGACTTTCATTACAGCCTTCAGGGGCAATGTTTGATCACTGAAAACAGGCTGCTTTGTTCAGCTTTCTCTGCTGTTTGGTCTCATCCTGAACACATATGCTCTGACTTGGAAAGAATCAGTCTGTAAAGATTTAATAGATTCTAGATTTGCATATTCAAAATGCATGTCTTGTGGTTAAAAATGAAATGAAAACTATTTTTATATCTATATTTACACAAACACATAGTTCAGACACATCTCAGCAAATTTTAAAAAGGCAATTAGGCATATTATATGTGCTTGTTCTGAGATTATGAAAGTTGGCTGTTTTTTAAATTAACCATTTTATATTTTCACTGAAAAAAATGTATTTTAAGAGACACTATAATGATGATAATGATGTACAAGAGCTCTTCAAGTTTCAGGGGTTTGAGATTTGCTGTATGTACTTGTCACCTATCAGGGACATAACTTTCTAGAGTTGGGTGTCACTGACCTCTCTCTTTATTAAAATGAATTAATAGCTTTCTTGCTTAGAGAAAATTGGAAGTCACAAAGAATTAAAGATAAATGTTAAAGATTAACATTTCCATGAGGCTCTTTTCCTTACATGATTGAAAAAAGTGATTTTCTTTTTTCAAAGTGAGAGGGATGATTAGAAAGAGACCTGAGGTGTCAAAAGCCTTTTGTGTGGTGACTAAAACTCACAGAATTTTCTCTTAGAATTCTCTGGCTTCTATCCCCTGTGTAGTCTCACATAAACTCATCTTTTAATTTTGAATTCCAGTGGAACCTTTGAAAGAAAGATGGCATTCCAAGTGAGTCAGTTTGCTATACATTACATCTGCAATTAGACATTTGTTGCATTGAAATTAAGCCAAACAAACTTCTGCTGAAACAGGATAGGTCCAATTACGTTCTATTTCGTGTGGCACAGAAAAATCTTACCATGTCACTTTGCTGTTTAAAATCCTTCCCTTTCCCTGTCCTTACTTACAACATCCTCCATCTCAATGACGCTGAGTGCGTCCTCTACCTGACATGTCCTTCTCTCTCTTGGTGAGTTTTGCAACAATCTCAGAACAGAGATTATTTCAGTCATACATTTGTTGTCTAGACCAGTGCTTTCCAAACCTTAATGTACTTATGAATCATCTGGGGATCTTGTTAAAAATGCAGGTTCTGATTCAGTAGGTCTAGGGTCTGGCTAAGATCCTAACAAGCTCCCAGGTGATGCAGCAGGACATACTTTGGATAGCAAGCGCCTAGAAACATATGACCTCTCATTAAATTGGCATTAGTTCCTGGACATTGATAACTGAAAATATAAATTCTCTGACTCTGAGGTTGCTTCAGACTTTGATTGGCTTTTTTGTTTATTGGTAATTTTATAAAGACACTGCACGATCTGGATTCCCTCTATTTCTCCAGTCTCCTTTCTTACCAGTTCCCATTTCTTACTTTATATTTGAGACATAACAAATTATGTGAAGTTTCCAGAATGTATCAGACTCTTTTGCATCTCACTGCCTTTTCAAATACTATATCCTCTGCCTGTCCTAACATTTTGTGATGCTTCCTTTAAAACTCAGCTCGGCTGTCCTCTCCTCCACAAATCTTTTCCTAATCTCTTTCCCATATAATTGCTTAATTAAATGCCTCCAATTTACTCTCACAATGCCCTGTATTTTCTATATTATAACTTTCTCATAATCTGCTTCAATTGTCTGCTTACTTGTCTGTTCCCTTCAAAACAGTGCTTCTATGGGGAAGGCATATGCATTTTGTTCTACTGCCAATTGCAATGTCTGACACATAGTAGGTATTCATTAAAGTTTGCTGAATGAATGAGGAAGGGAGGTTGATGTGTTGGTAGTTATGCAATAATATAATGCAATATTTTTTTTCATGAAGCTTACAATTGAATTGGGAGTAACAGAAACTAAAGTCATAAAAGGTTAAGTACAGGATGAGATAATACTGTAGAAGTAAAGTTACTATGTGATTAATTTCCGAATGAAGGTCATAGAAAATAATTATTCTGAGTTCACTGGAAGAAAATGTCACTGTGGATTTATTATTATTTTTTAATATACCAGTTTTTTCCATGAGGGATTTGAGATGGCTGACAACACAATGTATTGGAGTTAATAAAAAGTATGAACGCATGTGTAGTTAAGGCAATAGTATGAGAAAAGGAGGGAGTTTAGAAGTATACAAGGAGCTCATATACTAGCATGTCTGCAAAAATGATCCTCATTAAATAATAGACAGTAAGGTTGGTGTGCTAATTTTCGTTTCCACTCTGCCTGGGAGGTTGACTTCTGTGGAGTCAGCAGCTCCATTGTCCTCTGGCTTCTGGCTGAATTGGAGCAATGGGGTGCCCTGGCAGATGATCCAGTGGGAGGAAAAAGAGTGAGATCAGGACATTTATGTTCTTGTGTTGCCTAGAACTGTCTGTGCCTGTGTGTAAATTGTCCCTTTGTTAAAGTCTCCTTAAATTGTTTTAATTTGCGTGTGCCCCCTGCTCTCTGTAGAGACTCTGATAAAACCACAGAGTTGTTTAAAGCTAGATTGAATGCTGGGCTTAATAACTTTTATGATAACCATTAATGCTATAAAAATATTTCAGGTACTTGCTACATATCAGGCAAGATTCTATGAAGAGGTGTTTCAACAGAAGAATTCAGAAAACCAACCAACAAACCTAAAATCTTGTGCTCATATTATCTATATTTTAGTGTGGTAAAGAGGGTATAAATCATATTGGAAGCAAGGAAAAATTGATATGTTTCACGCCCCACAGTTCTGCAATGTTTATTTACATCAGCCTCTAGTTTACTGCTTTATTGTAAAGCGATAATATCCCAGAGATGTAGTTTTGGGGTTGTTTCCTTTTTACTGGGGCTAGATTACCCAGAACTTTTGCTTCTCCTCTTTCCTGTTGCTAATCTTTCGGTTATTTCACTGCTCAGTGTTCCTCCATCAGGAGATATAAAAGGGAAATAAATGGATGAAAAATTTAGCTTTGACATCTATGATAAAAGGTTTTTTAGGAAGGAGACTGAAATCCTGAACTAAAATGAAGCTTTTCAGTTTATCTGGGTTTGTCTGCCCCCTATTGCCATAAAGATGTTGAGAGTTGTTTCCAGCTTGTCAAAAACAAGAGATAAAATGGACAAAATGTTATATTCATGATAATGAAGAGAACTAGGTCTTATAAATAGATATGGTGCTCTTAATATGAAGCCCTGGTGTACAAATGCTCTGTCTTTGGATGTTAGATTGTATTACAACCTTGTTTGCAGTACTTACTCAGATCATTGTTGACTCATGTGAGTTTAATTCTATGACCTAGCCAAAAAAGATCATAAATCCCAGCAGGGGAAGACATGGTTGTAGCTTGACCTTGGAAATATGAGCTAAAGGTGCTGAGGACCATAAATTCAATTTACAATAATAACAAAAATAAGATTGTTTACACTTTGCTCAGTGGATGAAGTGAAAATCTAATATTTTTCCTGGTACATGCTGTATATTTTGCCAAGCTTGATTAAATTCCTGTTTAGCAGGTATCTGAGAGGAACTGAATAAAAATACTTCATATGAGACTTTTGACTCTACTTTGTTCTTCATTATTGAACTCTTTTTTTAAAAACTATTTTTCTTTTTTTTTTCAGGTTCTATTTATGAAATGTTTGGAAGTGAATGCTGTTTGTCAACAGGAGAAGTGATTAAAATTACTGGCCTCAAAATTAAGAAGATCATAGCCGAAATTTGTGAGCACATTGAAGGTTGTGAGTCTCCACAACCATTTGAACTGCCTATGAATTTTCCAGGTACAGTATTTTGCAACCATTTCTCATTTGTAAAACTGTATTCTTAAATGGTATATACGTCTCTACAGCTGAAAACAATGAAAAACTGGTAGTTTTTGTTTTTTTTTAACTCTAGGGCAGTGGGTGAAAACATCGGGATTCTTATAGTTTAGTGATTTTAGGGACTAATAGAAGGCAAATATTTTCTCCCCTTTTCAGTAAACATTGTTTACTTAGGACTTAATATTTTCTGATAACAAATATTTAGTGAGTTTAACTATATGCACCATTAGTTGTGCCAGGTAGTGGGAATGAAGAAATTAAAGATATATTTTCATAAGTTATGTAGAACTAATGAATATTTCCTAAACATATTTACCCTCTTTATCCCTGGCTCCCTGGATCACTGCTAAACTTCACTGTCTGGCCTTACTGACAAGTTTGGCTGCTCTTCTTTAACTAGCTAACCTTCAAAAATTAGGTCAGATATCAGGTCTCCTAGAAAACTTTTGCTGACTCTATAATCTAATCTGGATACCTCTATGTTCCCGTAGTATCTTGGGCACCATAGCATGCACCTTATTGGGTAGTAATTAATGATTTTCTTATTTGTCTTATTCTTTAGACCAGGGTTGGCAGACTTTTTCTGTAAAGGACCAGATAGTAAATATTTTAGACTTTGCCTGCCAAATGGTCTCCATAACAACTACTCCACTCTGATGTTGTAACATGAAAGAAGCTACAGATAAACCAATATAAACCAATTGGTTTATAAACCAATGAACACTACATAAACCAGTGATCACACGTGTGGTTCAATAAAAATTTATTTACAAAAACAGGTGGCCAACAGAATTTGGCCTGTGAACTATAGTTTGCTGAACTCTGCTTGAGACTAAAACTCTTTGACAGATGAAATATGACGTATGTGGCTTTATTTCTATGAACAAGCACATTTTCTGGCACAGGGAACGTGCTCAATAATTTCCTGTTGGTTGAATAATTGTTTATCAGTGAATGATTAGTGAAAGAGGACAATCTAGTAAGCTGTTACAACGTAGTGTAGTTTATGGTATAACTGAAGTATGCATGGGTTCTGTGAGAGTCTTGATAAGATGGATCTAACTCCAGTTGGTTATGCTTCAGAACATGGATTTTGGAATCATTATATTTGAATCCCAATTCTGTCACTTCTTAGTTAGGTAACCTTGCCAAATTATTTACCCTCTTCTCATGTAAAATGGGAATAATAATACTATCTCTTAGTGTTGTTGGAAGGATTAAATATTGAAATATATTTATATTGGTTAGAGTGATACTTGTCATATAACAAGGGCTATAAAAAAGTGTCAGCTTATATTACCATTATTAACCTTATTATCATCATTGGTGGAGTCAGGGAAAGCTTTTCAGAGAATGTTATTCTTGAGCTGAGGTTTGGAAAATTAAAATAATTTAACTGTATGAGGAGAGGATTATTCCAAGTGCTCCAATATTTTTTCCCTTTCAACTGAAATCTTATTCCTTGTTTAATTCTAATTACTCCTCATTACCCCATCCTATATAGCAATAGACTCCCAGTTAGATTTTAAACTCAAAGAATCCAATATGTTTTTAAACCATCCTTCCTTATTTGTGAATTTTCCATTTCTTGGGGGGTAATGATTTCTAATTTTATTTTATTGTGGTCAGAAGACATACTTTGTCTTTTGAGACTAGTTTTATGGCTTAACATATGGCCTATCCTGGAGAATGCCCTGTGTTCACTTAAGAAGAATATATATTCTGCTGTTGTAGTATAGAGTGTTCTACAGATGTCTGTTGGTTTATAGGATTGTTCAGGTATTCTATATCCTTGTGGATCTTTTGTCTAGTTCTATCCCTTTTAGAAAGTGGAGTATTGAGGTTTCCAACTGTTATTGTTGAATTGTCTGTTTTTCTTTTCAATTCTGTCAGCTCTAGCTTCATGTATATGGGGACTCTGATGTAAGGTTTATATGTGTTTATAATTGTTACCTTTTTTTGGTGGAGTTTCCCTTTTATCATTGTATAATATCCTAAACAATTTTTGTTTTAAAATCTATTTTTTTCTAATATTACTGTAGTCACTCCAGTTCTCTTTTGGTTACTATGTTCATGGTCTACCTTCTATTCTTTTGCTTTCAAATAACTTGTGTCTTTGAATCTGAAGTATGAATCTACAAGTAAGTCTCTTGTAGACAGTATATAGTTGGATGGGCTTTTTTTTTTAATCCATTCTGCCAACCTCTGCCTTTTAATTATTTAATCCATTTATATTTAGTGTAATTATTGATAGTGTAAGATTTACATCTTTCATTTTGCTATTTGTTTTCCATATGTCTTAGGTCTTTTGTGTTTCTCTATTTGTCCATTTTTGCCTTCTTTTGTGTTAAATAGATATTTTCTAGTGTACAATTTTATTTCCCTTTTTTAAAAAAAAATCTTTATTTTTTAGAGCTGTTTTAGGTTCGTTAGCAAATTTGAGCAGAAGGTACAGAGACTTCCCATATACTATATTACCTGTCTCAAATTTGCACAGCTTCCTCAATATCAAAATACCACTGTCTTTTTATGGTGTGTAACATATCTTTTTAGCACTGAATAATAGTTCATTGTCTGTATGTACCACCATTCATTTTGCTATTCACCTATTGAAGAACAACTTGGTTGCTTTCATGTTTTGGCAATTATGAATAAAACTCCTATAAACATTCATGTGCAGGTTTTTGTGTGAATATTAATTTTCAACTGATTTGGGTAAATACCAAGGAACATGATTGCTGGACCATATGGTAAGGATATGTTTAGTTTAAAGAAACTGCCAAACTGTCTTCCAAAATGACTGCATCATTTTGCATTCCTACTAGCAATGAATGAGAATTCCTGGTGCTTTGCATCTTCATCAGCATTTTATGCTGTCAGTGCTTTGGATTTTGGCTCTTCTAATATGCATACAATTGTGGTATCTTATTGTTTTAATTTTCAATTCCTTAATGACGTATAATGTTGAATATATTTTCATATGCTTATTTGCCATGCCACGTTCTTTGGTGAGGCATCTGTTCATGTCTTTTGCCCACTTTCTAATCAGGTTATTTGTTTTATTATTGTTGGCTTTTAAGAGATCTTTGTGTATTCTGGAATACAAGTCCTTTATCAGGCATGTCCTTTGCAAATATTTTGCAAATATTTTCTCTCAGACTGTGGCTTGTCTTCTCATTCTCTTGACAGTATTATTCACTGAGCAATTTTTTAAAAATGAAATCCAGCTTATCAATTATTTCTCTCTCTCTCTTTTTTTTTTTTGTGGTACGTGGGCCTCTCACTGTTGTGGCCTCTCCCGTTGCGGAGCACAGGCTCCGGACACGCAGGCTCAGTGGCCATGGCTCACGGGCCCAGCCGCTCCGTGACATGTGGGATCTTCCCAGACTGGGGCACGAACCCATGTCCCCTGCATCGGCAGGCGGACTCTCAACCACTGCGCCACCAGGTATTTTTCTCATAGATTTTGCCTGTGGTGTCATGTCTAAAAATTCATCATCAAACCTAAGGTCATCTAGATTTTCTGCTACATTATCTTTTAAGAGTTTTATAGTTTTTCATTTTACACTTAACTCTGTGATCTGTTCTGAGTTGATTTGTGTGAAGGGTGTTAAGACCTGGGTCTAGATTCTTTTTTTTTTTTTTTTTTAACATGTGAATGTCCAATTGTTTAGCACCATTTATTGAAAATACAATTTTTGCTCCATTGTATTGCCTTTGCTCCTTTGTCAAAGATCAGTTGACCATATTTAGATGGGTTTATTTCTGGGCTATCCATTCTGTTTCACTGATTTGTTTATTCTTTCACCAGTACCACACTGTGTTGATTACTGCAGCTTTATAGTAAGTCTTGTCAGTTCTCTGGCTTTGTTCTCCTTTAATGTTGCTATCCTAGGTTTCTTGCCACTCCATATAAACCACAGAATCAGTTTGTCAGTATCCACGGAATAACTTACTGGGATTTTGACTGGCATTGCATTAAAGCTATAGATGCAGCTGCAAAGAACTGACATCTAAACAATATTATATATTCCTATTCATGAAGATAGAATATATCTCCATTTATTTAGTTCTTTTATTTCTTTCATCAGAGTTTTGTAGTCTTCCTCATATACATCTTGTACATATTTTGTCAGATTTATACCTATTTCATTGTTTTGGTGCTAATGTAAATGGTTTTGTGCCTTTAATTTCAAATTCCACTTGTTCATTGCTAGTATAAATAAAAGTGATTGACTTTTGTATATTAACGTTGTGTCTTGAAACCTTGCTATACTTATTAGTTCTAGGAGATTTTATTGATCCTTTCAGATTATAATTGAATACATTGTTGATATTATTATTATGAGCAAACAAAATTTGTAAGGTTAACTAAGAATAAGAAAATAAAAGTTTTTACTTTATTCTCACTCATTCCTTTTCTGCTGCTTTCCCTTTATGTAATTCCAAGTTTCTGACATACAATTTTTCTTCTCTCTGAAGAACTTTTTTTAACGTTTCTTGCAAAGCAGTTCTATTGGAACAAATTCCCTCAGTCATTGTTTGTCTGAGAAAGTCTTTAATTCTCCTTCACTTTTAAAGAATATTAGGATTCAGATTTCTTGGTTGGTGGGGTTTTTTTCCCTCAACGCTTTAAATATTTCACCCTCCTCTCTTCTTGCTTGCATGGCTCCTGAGGAGTAGTTAAATGCAATTCTTACCTCTGTTCTTCTACAAGTATGATAGGTAAGATTTTTTTCCTCTGACCTTTTTCAAGATTTTTTCATTACTTTTCATTTTCTGCAGTTTGAATATGATGTTCTTATGAAGTTTTTTTTAGAATCCTGTTTAGTGTTCTCTGAGCTTCCTGGATCTGTGGTTTGGTGTCTGACATTAATTTGGGGGAAATTATCAATCATTATTTCTTCAATTATTTCTTCTGTTTTTTAAAAATAAATTTATGTATTTATTTATGTATT